ACCCCAAAAATTCCCCCCGAGACAAAAAACAGTTCCCCAAAAGCCCCCCCCCCCCCGTTTAACATTGGCATACCCAGCCACCAAGGAGTGGAATTATGAAAACCACCTCGGTACATTCAAACAACAGGGCTGCAGTCGGAACACAGGATAAAAAAATACCACAATTAACCTACTTTTCCGGCCATGTTTGGTTCCTGAGGGCATTTTTCACGTGTACCGCAGTGCTCACAGCCATGAGAGTATCAAACTCTTTAGATGTAAGGGATGTTCCTGTGGGCAAACGAGAGATTCAGTTGAGACTCGCGTGAAAACCTAATTCATTTGCAAATGAGCGTATTTCTCGAAAACAGTCCAATTTGGGTTCAAGTAGATCATAAGGTTGACGGAAACTCGGGAACTGCGCCTATCTGATAAGCCCCAAGAAGGGCGAAACCGGTCGTGGGCTGTCGAGGAGTTTTCAGCAACCTTGTGAGTAGTTTCCTTTATGAAAACAATTCTTTCAATTCACAACTGAGGATTACGCGTGTTGACGAGGTGTGTGTACGCAACAATCGAATATAGGGGGAACCTTGGTTACTAATGGTGCGTACAAGCACAGTGTCAAGATTGTTGTAATTTATGGGAGAAATTGATTTTCAGCGGTAAGAATAACGGTTCAACATGGGGACTATACTATACTATACTATGCTATGCTTTACTATACTATACTATACTATACTATACTATACTATACTATACTATACTATACTATACTATACTATACTATACTATACTATACTATACTATACTATACTATACTATACTATACTATACTATACTATACTATACTATACTATACTATACTATACTATACTATACTATACTATACTATACTATACTATACTATACTATACTATACTATACTATACTATACTATACTATACTATACTATACTATACTATACTATACTATACTATACTATACTATACTATACTATACTATACTATACTATACTATACTATACTATACTATACTATACTATACTATACTATACTATACTATACTATACTATACTATACTATACTATACTATACTATACTATACTATACTATACTATACTATACTATACTATACTATACTATACTATACTATACTATACTATACTATACTATACTATACTATACTATACTATACTATACTATACTATACTATACTATACTATACTATACTATACTATACTATACTATACTATACTATACTATACTATACTATACTATACTATACTATACTATACTATACTATACTATACTATACTATACTATACTATACTATACTATACTATACTATACTATACTATACTATACTATACTATACTATACTATACTATACTATACTATACTATACTATACTATACTATACTATACTATACTATACTATACTATACTATACTATACTATACTATACTATACTATACTATACTATACTATACTATACTATACTATACTATACTATACTATACTATACTATACTATACTATACTATACTATACTATACTATACAGCATCTGTGTTGAACTCTGATGTCATGCTGTCTATGATAATGATACCATACCATACTATACAACTTTTGGATTGGCAGTACCTAATCAAGCTAGGCTGCGTACAGATAAGGACATCCATCCACGAAAATACAACTGGAAACCAATCGTATGGTTTGTATGCATCTGGGGTGGGGTATTCTCCTCGATGCCATGAACGGATATCCGCAACATCAGAGAGAGCAAAATCAGCGCTGGCACTGATGCTTCACCCCCGTACAACCACAAAGTTTCTTTGATTTTACCTAAAACCTTGACACGAAAAGAAAGGAGTGGGCGGGGAATGGGCTTGGTGCTGACCTATCGCAAGTATTCTGAGGTGCCCATACCTCCGAACGCTCACTGAGACAATCTGAAAAAAAAACTGACAGCACGAACGCCACTGGTGAAAGGAAGAAGGCCTTCGCTGCGGAGTTATTTATGGGAAAATGCCAACTGAATAGTTACAGACTATTGGATAGGGGAGCAAAACTCTCATATGCATCTTGTTTACAAAACTGAATATCCATCTTCTCCTTGAACGCGTCCTCTTGAACTTTTCTGGATATTCACTGACTGTTACTCAATTGCAAGCAAATGCTATAGAGCGACTCCACAAATTCCGTAATAGACCTTACTTTTCAAGAGACGCAAAGGGAATTTACCAGAATAAAACATGCTACTCGCATGCCCCTCATCAGTAGTATCACCGTTGCACTGGTATCGACCACCCACCGTTTCTTGTCATGTTTCCAGCCAAGCACAGGAGGTCATGAGGACCATGTCCTGGAACAACACCTAAACTATTCGTGATCACTTTCACACACTTTACCAAGTTATACGTTTGCTGGTTGCGCCATCCTGAAGGATATGAATAGATAGAAGAGAGAAACTACTGAATGAATGATGAATGCATTTATACTTAATGCATACAGCTCTTTCACTGCCTTGGCTGACCCCAATGATGTTTGGGAGCCTACGGCCACAACGTATTTCACGAGTTCTGTGCATAAAACCAAACGTGACCATAAACTCCTTGGACAGCTCCTGAAAATGTGGAAGTGGAACAGTGAACAGTCAAAATAAGGTGACCCCGATCAAACTAACCTTTGAAACCATCCGGATAGGTTTCCATCAGATATTTGGTCGTGATTTTGCCAGAAACGAATCGCTCCTCCGTGATGATATCTCGTAACAGAGGAATGTTGTGTGTGACCCCTCGGATCACATAACTGTCCAAGGCCTTCGCCATGGTGTCCAATGCGGATTGACGGTCCGGCCCGTAGGTGACCAGTTTGCAAATCATGGGATCGTAGAAAATCGAGATTTCCGAACCTTCGCTTATTCCACTATCACAGCGTACGTTTGGAATATGCACCGGTTCGATGTAGGAATACAACCGTCCGATTGAGGGCAGGCCGAAGGCTTTGTACGGGTCTTCCGCATACACACGACATTCGACCGACCAGCCGTGAATTGGAATGTCAGACTGGATGGATAGATAGAATGGAAAAAGTGAGGGATCTATGGAGCGGAAAGATGATTTATCTGACGAATTAACCATATTCCCCGCCCAAAACGCAACCCCTAGGATTCCACCCAAAACAAAAATCAGTTGGATACTTGAGCCTGTCAAACGCTTTCCCAGAGCTATATCAGATTCATTGTACTGCCAAGCCAATGGCTTAGTGTGAGCCGACCAATCAGCTGCCAGTCTTCATTTCCATTCTCCCCTCGGGTGCTTCGCTAACAATCTCGTTGCGTCACGGAGTTCTGAGGATGAGTTCGCGGTTTCGAGACCATCCGATTGACAGCATAACATTAGCGGTCGACAATGAGGCCTCGCTGCCGTACATCCATAATTTATTTGTGTACAAAAGGATGGAGAAGGGAATTAGTGCTAGCCCACCACAATTAATCTGAGGTGCCTAAGCTGCAGATTTCGCTAACAATCTCGTTGCGTCACGGAGTTCTGATGATGAGTTCGCGGTTTCGAGACCATCCGATTGACAGCATAACATTAGCGGTCGACAATGAGGCCTCGCTGCCGTACATCCATAATTTATTTGTGTACAAAAGGATGGAGAAGGGAATTAGTGCTAGCCCACCACAATTAATCTGAGGTGCCTACAGCTGCAGATACTCATTGAGACAAGCTGTATAAAAAATGATAGCAGAATTTTGTACCGTCCCTAACCAATTAAACGGGGATCACGCAGAACCGCACTACTTTTGCTTGTTATTGTCGCTTCCTGGTGCATCCCATCACAACATTGTCGAATTAGAGATAGGCTTTACGTCACTCCGTACCAGTCGACCTCCGGCAAGAACCACAGGCAACGAAGTGTGGTAAAAACAGAACCGTGAATCATTCTAGAGTATGAAGCAGGGAGTAAGATATTCCAGACAATGTACCAATTGCTTAACTAGTCAAAGACTCCTGCTACCGGGTCTGTAGACATGTGGTAGGCATGTCCAACCACCACCTCCCCGTTTTCCGTTCTACTACATTGTTGATGATAGGTTCGCGGGGGATAGACCATAACAAGGTAACTTGAAATGAAAGTTGCTAGAGCCCACCTGAATGTTGTGGGATCTTTGCGTCTTACTGGGTGGGGCCAGCATGAGCCTACTTGAACGTGCGTGGAAAGTCTGCAGGTCGAAGCAACGCAACCGTCGTCCTGCGCCAGGCTCGTATTGGGTGAATTACGCACACAGGACGACGGGTCTATCTAGCTAACAGCGGCTTACTTCGACACGGTGCTCAGATGTATCTATTTAGATCTCGTTCAAGGATGCAGTCACTTTGTAACGCGCTACTCATAAGGTTGATGAAAATTCGTCGACAGCCCAGGACCGGTTTCGCCCTTCTTAGGGCTCATCAGGCAGGCGCAGTCCCTGGGTTTCCGTCAACCTCATGTTCTACTTGAACCCAAATTGCACGAAATTAGCGAAATATACTCACTTGCAAACTAATTTGGTCTTGCGAGAGACTCACCTGGAACCCAGGTGAATCCCTAGTTTGTTTGCAAATGAGTGCATTTTGCTAATTTTGTGCAATTTGGTTTCAAGTAGAACATAAGGTTGACGGAAACCCACGGACTGCGCCTGCCTGATGAGCCTTAAAAAGGGCGATACCGGTCGTGAATTATCGACAAATTTTCAGCAACTTTATGAGTAGTGCATTACGAATATACATGTATCGCGATATCTCGAATATCGTAGCGACTGAAACATGAGGCGGCCTGGTGCAGCACATTCAGTTGCCTGGAAATATCACAAACGAGAGATTCAGCTGGGTTCCAGATGAGTTTGCAAATGAGTGTATTTCGCTAATGTAGCCACTTCATTGTTGAGCGTTTTCCTCAAAAAAATTAGGCTCCTTCGCACCAACTACCCGCCCTATATCTTTCCAATCTCTACGAAAGCTTTTACTCCTCATGGTTTAGGGTGGTAGGTTATGCTGGTGTACTGCCCGAAAAGATAATGGTGGCGACCGAGACTGTGGATGTGTACACCTGAAAGAGCATATTTACGGCAGCTTGTTCATACACGTGTGTGCGAGATGTGGCAGCGACCAGCAGACAAATACAATCTGTGAGTATTTGTGATCGTATGCTAGTACACAGCCGGCAAGAGACCGGGCGAATTAGCGTTCTAGTCATCGAACAATATGGCATACTCAAACACAAACACCAAGAAAAAAACATCAAGAGTATGGACGAATCTGTCCAAAATGTACCAACCGAACTGAAAGCAAGTAACTTAGACACACGAGCCACAGGACCCCAACGAAATGAAATTGGACACAAGGTTTTAACTAAGGAACTCGCACATTAATGGGTCCTGTTCCCGGGAGATGGGACATCGAAAAGTTGTCTGCTAGTTCGTATGGAACTACGGGGGTGCCCCCAAGTTATATGCTGCAGCACCCGGATGTCTAGAAATTACGGAATCGGTGACACAACTAAATGGCCAGCGATGGAGCCAGACCAGTATGTTCTCCCAACCATCGCGTCAGATCTCACTACGCAGAATAGCATCATTTTCATCGTCGTCATCATCAAGAAAACCGCCGCGTGGCTGTGGAACAAAAATGGCGAGGCAGGCGGCATCGAAAACTACAGCATTATCAGAAAAATGCCGGCCAGACCCCGTGTCCAGTCAGACTGAAGGACGCTTTTATGAGTAGGCTAGTAGGAGAGTGGAGCAAGCTGGCCAGTTGGAAGGTGGTACCACAACATGTATGGGACACGCCGAAAGAGCAAACGGGTATGGCAAAGTGGCCCACCGGTTGTCCGATATCAGCTAACACCCCTAACCGTTCGCCTCGCGATAGTCGAGAATGCGAACTTCTGATCAAGAGGTTCTTTGGCTAGACACTGATTTTTCGGCCACGTTGTGAGGGGTTCACCTAGCTAAGAGGTCCTGTAACGCAAAAATTCTCGGTGATTAGCAGACAACAAACTGCGAGTTTGGCTAACTGTAGATTAGTGATTCGTAGCAGGATGCTTCAGTAAACCAGAGAGCCACATCAATACTCAAAAGCGCAAGCAATTTGACATACACTGAGGTGCACTAGGTGGTCCGCTCGATTGACCAGAGAGGATACTCCAGTGCTAGATTCATAACGTTCCCTTCAGCTGTAGCTTCCCTCTGCAACCGCAAAGAAGTACGAGGTCCGACCAAGTCGATGGCGACTGAGAAATGGACTTTCCCCACGCGCTATCCTGGGGCTCTTCATTCAAGGTCCTAAGCAGCTCTACCTCCAAGAGCAAGCTCGATTTCGTTCTTACTCCTGGGAGAAAGTTACTGCATAGTAACAGCTGACCATTGTCTAGGCCTGTATGGCTAAAGGTTGACGGAGAAAGGAACGAACCACAAAAACTGGCACGAAAAGAAGGCTTCCCTATCAAGCACTATGCAGCCGTCAAAGAGGCACTTGAAGAAGAAAAACCTCCACGTTTATGATTGTTTTTAATAGACAGTATGGTTCATACTATAATATAATAATGCTGTAACACGCCTCTGGTGAACAGCTGTCTTGCCACATGGGGGAAGCATCAGGGCTGACATACTTCCAGGTTACCCAGCGATTGAGAAGCGGCGGTTGGGTTCGAACCAAAGACCTTTCGGTCAGTAGGTTCGCCTTCAACTAATGAGCTATCTCGAGCTCACTACGGTTCATGCATGTGTCCAACTACCAAGATGCTCCAGCAGCGACGGAATCAGTCATTTCTGTGTGTGCGTTTATCAACAACAAAAAACAACTCCGGGAAAAGCACGTGTTGCCGCGACAAAAATGACATTTTTGCTGGTCCAGGCACCTGGTAGACGAAGCTAATCAGAGACGGACACTTCCGCGATCAGGTGTTGACTAAAGAAATCGTTTAGCTGTAGCACCCTTTCGGTGTCTAACTGCCGTGCCACCCGAAGGTTGCACGAGGGCTGGGATACTGCCAGGTTGCCCAAGTCTAGACAGGGGAGTCGAGAGGCAGAGGTCGGGTTCGAACCATGAGCCTTCCGGTCAGTAAATTCGCGTTCTAACCACTTGGGCCATCTCGCCCCTGACTAAAGAAATACAAGCGAGGAATACTAGAAAAAGCAAAACTCGACGACTTTTCCACAAATCACAACACACTCACTTACTCACCTGACTTAGCAGCAGTTTATGTCCCTTGCCAATACGCAACATTTGATGTACAATGTCCACTCCTGTCGTGCATTCGGTGATCGGATGTTCCACCTGCAGTCGAGTGTTCATTTCCAGAAAGTAGAAGTTTCGTTTAGAGTCGACGAGGAACTCGACAGTACCTGGAGGTCACAACAGCAAGAACGCAGACGTTACTTTGTAAGTATTGGCGATAACTGGTTCGGAAAGAAATTGGCAAATCGTATATTTGTACTAAAAGAAAACTGATTGCGCGAATTGCATTCTGGTTTATACGATTTATCGTTGTTGTCTAGAAGTAGCAACCTGTTCTTAAGGTTGCTCAAAGCTCTATGAAAAATGTTCGGCTGCTTTATGAGTAGTGTGTTACGTGTAGACCGATGGGATGATCCAACCAAGATTGTCCTGGGATTTATAGTGGAGATTTTATCCAGTCAATGAAGCCGATCTGTGTTGAGAAGGCACGGAACACTGTACAATTGTTTTATCCTTACTGGGCCTTTCCGGTCCACCAATCTTGGACACAGTTGAACCTCGATTCGGATGATGCGTCGATCTGAGGTGTCATCCGGCCTCTACTAAATCCACGGTTCTATCAGAGACCCAATGGTTCCAAGAGGTTGGCTGGGTTGTAACGAAAAGAGAAGTTCCGGTTGTGAGTAGCACTCTGGATACCTTCCCCAGTGGTCGTTAATATCCCACATCGGACTGTCCGGGGAGCACCCGGTTCTGATAGGTTCGTTTCGTTTCTGGGTCAATCCAGTTCTAAATGGCTAAGTAAGGTGTACACTTTTACGTAGACCCTGAAAGCAGCAGGGGACAAGTGCACGATCGGAGCCCACCTTGGTATTCTACAACTACCGGCAAGCAGTTATCGACCTTAACCACTGACGGCGATGTGGTCAGTTTAGATTCTGGATTGGTTCGTTGGTGAGCATCACGTCGTCAAGCGACTTCCGCTGTTCCGGAAATCGGTGCTTTAGAGGGACAATCTGTGATCTGCACACATCCGTTGTCTGTGCATCTTGTATCCCACCCAAGACGATCACCAAATGGGACCTCAGCAGCGCTTGGTCTGCCTACCTGGGAGTTCATCTCACCAGAAACCACAACGATGTATGAGCTTTTAGCCCATTGTAAGAGTACCCACAGCGGCATCGAAACTGTCTATGAAAGATTAAGAGCTACAGTCAATTGAGGCATAAGCGGACACAATAAAAAGGGTGCGATGGACCTGTAGGTTCTCTCACATACGCTAGCAAACGAACCACCCAGAGGCGACTATCAACAGGTATTCAATCAAATAGAGACGCTTCCGCCTGGTCGCTCAATACAATACCTACCCACCTTGCCCACTGAAAAGCTGGGAGCAGGAAGGAAGCGAGGGGGCAGACAATTCAATTACGATGCTTGCTCCTAACAGGGAACATACATACAGAAGTTGCAATTGAGCGTGATGCACGGCGAACAAAGCAGTCAGTCCTAGTGATGGGACCCACGGAGGGAGTATTCAAACTCAGGTGCAGGGTAGAAGAAGGAATAGGCGGAATACGTAAGAAGGTGGGCGTCAGGAGTGGCATGTTTCCCTCATCCGGGCGGCTGTATAAAGCAATTAAAGTGACCCGGCTGATGGCACCACGCGACATGAGTTTATTTGTATGTGCGAAATTCATGGTTGTACGTGGGCTGGAATTCGGTCAACACGTATGACCGCACGACGTGAGTCGCTCATAGTCCAACGGCACTCAGACTATTAGCTGGGAAGTCGTGAGTTCGAGGAGCCCTGGAGTTTCGTGAGACGCATACTGCAGACGTTTCTCACTAAAGTGAAACAGCTGTGCGACAATCCTAGGCTTTGCAGCATATATTAACTCTACTTGCGGGAAGAAATCTCCATACCACCGACTACCTGGAACGCATCGCAACTCAATCTCTTTGGCGATAAAATTTGAGCCTGGCTCCACGAAGTGCTTTGGTGGCATGTACAGACTGTACCTTATCCTCAGTCACGATGATTAGCCAAGCATCGTTTCTGCCAATCACTCAAGAGCACTATCTGCCAATAACAGTCCCACGGGACTCAAATCAAAACGGGAGTGTACACGATTGTCTAAGGGATACAACTGAGTTAGGGGCGAGATGGCTCAAGTGTTAAAAGCGCGAATTTACTGACCGGAAGGTCCGTGGTTCGAACCCGACCTCAGCCACTCGAATCCCCTGTCTAGGCTTGGGTGACATGGCAGTATTCCGGCCCTCGTGCAACCTTCGTGTGGCATGGCAGCCCGAAAGAGTGCTACAGCTGAACGATATATATACATATACATACATATATATATATATATATATATGATGGAGCTAAAGGGAGTGTAGAAGTTCCTGAGTACTTTTCAAATAGTGTCTGGTAAGAGCTCTTTTGACAGCAATTGTGCAGTTCATTTTTGCTGAAAACATCGTCTTCGGAGTCCGAGTTGCCTCATCTAAGTGTTATTCAAGCTTAAAATCGCAGAGTACATGCTACGTATAACTGTGGCCGTGGTGATCAACGCTATCCAGTGGTCGTTTGGAAATTGTGATGTACCTGAAATTGGTCACGTGCCAGAAAGTCCTCATCGAATCTGGTCTGTCAGCTGCTCAGGTGTTCTTCATCAAGTCGCACAGATCATGAACGAAAAATCGGGTCTTCCAAGACCATCCGTCATGTGCAGAAGTCAGTTTTTGGTTGAGCAACCCTCGTGCGGGGATTCGACGGTAAGAAAAGTCTGAATTGATATGTCAATCGAACTTCAAGAAATCAGAAAAACCAGAACAACCCAGTCCCACTTGATCGCTGGATCGCGGACAAATACTGAAGATCATAAAAGACTAAATGACCAACACGTCAAGTTTTGCCGCCGCCAGAACCTAGCAATGAGTAACTGAAGAACGACCAATCAAATTTTTCCAGGATTGCTAAGCAATCAATAGGCATCACATAAGTGGGGAACTCACCGGCCGAGTCGTATCCAACTTCCTTAGCTAGTGAGACGGCCTGCTCACCCATGGCCTTGCGTGTGGCCGGATCCAGGAATGTGCTTGGAGCTTCCTCGATCACCTTTTGATTACGACGTTGGATAGAACATTCGCGTTCATTTAAGTAAATGGCATTACCATGCCTGTCGCAGAGGACCTATCATGGGAACACGCAAACCGAAGGTGAAGTACAAGCAACACGTTGATTAACTCCATCAATTAACTCCATGGTAGAAATGTTTTACTAAGCATACTCGGGAATTTTTTTCTGGGAACACTCCTGTTGACAGTAACAACACAATGGATCTCGAGCAAATATTAGAAGGTAAATGTCTCTCCCCCCCGCCGCGAGGAAAAGAAAAGGAGAACGAAGCAAGGTCGTGTAAATACGGTAGTCGATTGCAGACTTGTCATCAGCACTACCATCACAAGTAGCAACAGCCTCATCGTATACAAGCCCCACAGTGTTTACAGCTGCCACAGTTTTACTAGACAGCGCACGTGGTTAGAAACCCTGTAAATGCATGACACCCAACCGATCCCACTGGCTAGCATGCTGTTATTGCCTAGTCGCACTGTCCAGTTGCCTGTGGTCATGCCCTGCACCTATATCAGCTGAGGTTTGAAAAGAAAGCTGGGTCAATCTGGGAAAATACACACATTTGCGAGATGGCTCAAGTGGTTAGAGTGAGAATTCACTGACCGGAAGGTCCGTGGTTCGAGCCCGACCTCTGCCTCTCGACTTGCCCTGTCTAGGCTTGGGCAACCTGGCAGTATCTCAGACCTCGTACTTCCTTCTGGTGGCATGGCAGTTAGGCATCGAAAGGGTGCTACAGCTGAATGATTTACTGGGAGTCTCAACTGGATCTTTCGTTTGTGGTTCACCTGACGAGCCCTCCAGAAGGGTGAAACACATTGTGGGCTGTCGAAGGGTCTTCAGCAACCTTGAAAAGTGCTTTCCGTTTGGACACTATACTTGAAAATCGTACCAACTGAAACGTGAGGCGATTTTGTGTAGCACATTCAGCTGAAAAAAAAACAATATAAGCGAGAAATTCAACTGGACTCGATTGAGTCTCCCAAATTGGTGTACATATGAGGGTAGTTGGCCGATCCCGCACAATATGAGTTCAAGTGGAACATAAACTTGACGGAAGTTCGAAGTGGAACCGGTTGTGGCATGTTGAAGAGTTTTCAGCAACCACTGAAGCAAAAAAATCGTTCGGCAGTATCACCCTTTCAGTGCCCAACTGCTATGCCACCAGAAGGAAGATACTGCCAGGTTGCCCAAGCCTAGACAGGATAAGTCGAGATGCAGAGGTCGGGTTCGAACCATGGACCTTCCGGTCAGTAAACTCACGCCCTAACCCCTGAGCCATACCGCGACTGAAGTAACGTCTGCACAACGAATTAGTTTGATTAGTACTTAGTCATTTGCAACAAAACCATCTCACGGAGACGTGCACCAGTGTTATAAAACCTATGAACCAAAGAGAGTGAGTGACTGCCACGACAGGAAGGCTGTCTCCATTCCACAGCACGGTGAACGCAAACAGTCGATTCGCTGTTCACGTATCACCATACGCACTCCGGAGTGTTTATTAACCTCTGCATCGTACATTTGCACATCAGAACTACGCAGGAATAAACACTGGCTGGCGTTTTTGAAAAGTAAACAAACAAGTGATCAAGACGAAATTTCACAGCAGTAGAGTGCTTCCAGACCAACAACAGCCTCAACTTGACCGGCATCGTTAGCATACAGTATAAACAAGTCATATTGAGGTTATAGACCTCAACTTCTTGTTCAATTATCGACAATGAATAGGACGAGATGGCTCAGTGGTTAGAGAGCGAATTTAGTGACCGGAAGGTCCATGGTTCGAACCGAACCTCTGCATCTCGATTTCCCCTATCTAGGCTTGGGAAATGACAGTATCCGAGCCCTCGTTCTTCTTTCGGGTGGCATGGTAGCTAGGAATGGAAAGGGTGATATTGCCGAGCGATTTTTCATTGAACAGCAAGGAGAAACGTGCACATTACAGGAAGCAGTTGAGAGCATCGCACAGTAGCTTTGAAATGGTGGTAACCCAGGTGTGAGCATTTTTGGATGCGACCACAAGTTTACCTGTCACACACCCTAAAGTAGCGTGCGGTTCAAGGCCATTCGACTAGGTCAATATTAAACACAGTCTTGATACGTATTCACAACTGCGTAAAAGTGCGAAAAATACACTTGGATCACTGTTATACTGAAAGTTCTCACCCGAGAACACGGAACTGGGAACGAACCAACGACTAAGGACGAAAACGCGATGGGAATACAAAATAGCAACGCATAGAAAGTGGGTAAACGAGGATGGAGCACGTCCGGAATCAATATTGTTGGGACCTGGTCGAGCGGATATATGGTGATCTTTCAAACCGCTTGATAAGACAGCTATAAGGGCTAAGGCCTTCGCTAAATACACTTATTTGCATGTCAATTTGGTTTAAATGAAAGGTTTACATAAATCCCAGCTGAATGTCGCTTACGACAATCTTCAACTGAATGTGCTGCACAAAGGTCACCTCATGTTCCAGTTGCGAAGATATTCTATGAAGGAAACTACTGATTAGGTTGCTGAAAGCAAGTCAGTGTATTTGTCGAACTGCGTGCAATTTAGACTCAAGTTAACGGAAACTCGGGGAATGCGCCTACCCAATGAGACGGGACGGTTCAAGTGGTTAGAGCGTGAATTTACTGACCGGAAGGTCCGTCTGCCTCTCAACTTATCCTGTCTAGGCTTGAGAAACCTGACAGTATCCCAGCCCTCGTGCCTCCTTCGGGTGGCATAGCTGCTAAGCACCGAAAGGCCGTTACAGCTGGACGAATGAACGAGCTATCTAATGAGCCTCAAGAGGGGCGAAACCAATCCTGGACTGTTGATGAAATCTCAGAAACTCTATGAGTAGTTTGCTTGATGGAAAAAATTAATCTTCTTTGTTGAGACCGCATCTTAGCGAAAGCTGACAGTGACCAGGTTCATCCTCGTATATTATAAGCCTCCATCGATTTCACATTTCGACGAGGAGGCAACCTCCAAACGTCGCGTTCGTTCTCCGTCAAACGGAAGACTTGATGTGGCTGAATGAAGTTTGAACACCCCCTCGCTTCAGGGAGCCATAGGATGAACTAACATGAGTAACCGACCTTCCTAACACTGTTCAGAAAACCACAGAACTACATGTCGCTCACCTGGATCTCAATATGCCTCGGGTTGTCTATGAACTTCTCGATTAGCATCCGGTCATCGCCAAATGAAGCCTTGGCTTCAGCCTTGGAAAGGCGAAATCCTTCACGAGCCTCTTTTTCATTCCACGCTATACGCATCCCCTTGCCTCCACCACCCGCGGAAGCTTTGATCATCACCGGATAGCCTGAATGATTGTAGAGACGGGAAAATGACAAAGGATGGGGGAAGATTCCCCAGCAGGGAAATGAAGAAATTAACAAATGCACCATCCAGCAACTGGGTGGAAAAAAACGACAATGGTAGTGAAAAAATTTCGAACGGCTACATGGTGAGAAGGATCATATATTCAAGACCTACAATTCTAAAGCTTGCTCTTTCTCCCTCAACCCGTGTCAATAAATAGCCAATGAGCAGAACTGACACATTCGGTTACCCCGTACTTTCCGCTATGTTACGCCACACCCGAGAGGTTTTTGTGGGAATTTCAAAAAAAAGAAAAAGAGCAGAACCACGTTGTATTGCTGTTGTTATATAGATTGATTAGTTTAGTCAACGGGATAGTCAACTTGTGATAAAACATGACACTTATTTGCACACAAAACTGAGTTTACGGAAAAGAACAGTTCACGTCGGAAAGACCGTTTTTTCAATTGCACAATAAAAAACGAAAACCCGAAATAGCCCTGAGGCTAAACCGTCAACCTACTGACCGGAAGATCCATAGTTCAAATCCAATCCAATCCAATCTCGACTGCTCCCGTCCAGGCTAGGAGAACCTGGCAGCATCTGAGCACTCAAGCTCCCCTCGGCTGGTATACCAGCTGGGCACCGAAAGGGTGATATATGTAAACGATTACTAATACTACTATTGGACCCAGTCACTCGCTTTTAGCACCTTTTCCTTAACTAGCACGATTCTTAGACGCGAAAGCAACCCCTCCCTTAGCTCACACATCAAAAGCAAGTATTCCCCGTAATAACCTGCGTTTCTCCACCAGATCACGTTAGTGGTCCACTTCGCCACATGCGTATTTGCCGTACATATGCACAAGTCAACGAAAAGCGACGGTGTGACTAAATTAACAAGTAATACAATATAACAAACTGGGTTGCTCAGAGGAATGTTCAATTTTATTCTGTAGAGCTAGGAATTATGGCGAGCTTCAGTGGCCAAGTGTTAAAAGCAGCGGAAAACCGGGTCGGTTTCAGGCTGTACTAATGTAACTGTGTTTACTACTGAGGAAACAAGCAAGTAGTATCCAGTCGAGTGTTAAAGCGCTGTCGCTAAATTCGATAGAAACTTGATACGGAAATTATTGAACAATTTCGTAGTGTTTGTTTAAAATTCGAACAACGTCCAGGACGGCTCGGGAGGACACGTGGGAATGTTGAATTCCAGAAACTCTCCGCAAATGAGGTTTCTCCTTTCGCGTATAATTGCCCGACCTAAAGCTGCCACCTTGATGTGGTGGTCGGGCTTCAGTGCTGCAATGATCCCGCGGGCTACACTGGCTGGAACTTCGTTCCACAAGGTACAACCATGCCAGGAAGGCCAAAGGGGAGCAGCCAGA